TCCCGCTCCCATGCCACTTTCTCACCTTTCTTCTCCTCCTAACCGTGGGGGACATTTCCCCGAATCCTGGCCCTCCACCACCTCGCTCACCCGCAAGGCACCCTCCCACTTCCACCTCCTGCCACAACCCTCTCAACCTAGTACCTGTCCCTCTGCTCCCCAAAACCACCCCCCGTTTTCGTGTGCACTCCTGAATGCCCGATCGTGTGCAACAAAGCTCACTGCCATCCACGACCTCTTTGTTTCCCGCTTCCTCAACCTCCTAGCATTCACGGAAACTAGGATTCAAGCCACTGACTCTACCTCCCCTGCAGCACTCTCCTACGGAGGTCTCATCTGGACCCACTCACCCAGACCCAACGGTCCTAAAGGTGGTGGGGTTGGTCTGCTCCTGTCACTACTGAGCACCTTCCAAGTCCTCCCAAACCCCCCCTCTCTATCCTTCTCCTCCTTCGAGGCCCACTGCATCCGACTATTCTCCCCAACCCCCCTGAGGATTGCTGTAATGTACCAGCCTCCTGGACCCGTATCCCACTTCCTTGATGACTTTTCTGCCTGGCTACCCTTCTTCCTCTCTTCTGAGCTACCCACCATCGTCCTTGGAGACTTCAACATCCCGGTCAACATCAACAACCCGGCCACATCCCAACTCCTCCACTTAACCTCCTCTTTTGCACTTGCACAGTGCATACAATCCACCACCCACTCCGACGGGAACACCCTAGATCTTGTCTTCTCCCATCGCTGCGCTCCCCACAACCTCACAAACACCCCCTTCCCTCTCTCTGACCACAACCTTATTACCTTCTCTGTCTCCTCATCTTCAAACGCCTACCCCTCCAAATCCCACACTATTACCAGCCGAAACCTACGTAACCTGGACCCTGCCCCCCTCCATTTTGCAGCCAATCAGCTTTATGACAGCATCCTTCCCCTGTCCTGCCCCGGCCTGGCCACGACTGCCTATAACAACTCGCTGTCATCCGCTCTTAATTCGCTAGCGCCTTTAACCACACGAAACATCAGACTCCAACCGCTCCAGCCCTGGCAGACTGATCACACCAAAACTCTCAAAGTCATGCGCTGGAGCGATTATGGCGCAAAACCAGATCCCAACTAGCATTCACCCGCTATAAATCCACCTTCCACTCCTACACCTCCTCCCTCCACGCTGCCAAACAAGCCTACTTCCTGGCCCTCATCAATACCCTCTCCTCCAATTCTCGCCGGCTCTTCTCTACCTTCAACTCTCTACTCTCTTCGCCCCACCTCCACCCAGCACCTCACTCACCGCCCTCGAGATTGCCAATCACTTCAAAAACAAGATTGACACAATTCTCAGGGACATTGCCGCTGCGCAGACCTCCTCCCCACCTATCTCCCCTCACACAGCAACCCCCTCAACACCCCTCTCCCTCGGCCTCACCACTGTTCAGACCTCCGCCCCACCTAACATCCCTCACACTGAAGCCCCCTCAACACTCCACTCCTTCGACCTTGCTACCACCGAGAGATCACCAAGGTCTTCTCCAAAGCCTGCCTCCTTGACACTGTCCCCTCACAGCTCCTATGACCTCCCTCCTCCTCCATCTTACGCTCCCTCACCCACATATTTAATCTCTCCCTCTCTTCTGGTGCATTCCCCTCCCCTCTGAAGCACGCACACATCACTCCCATACTCAAAAAGCCCTCCCTGGACCCTACTGACCCGAACAACCTTATACCCATCTCCCTGCTGCCATTTACATCCAAACTCCTTGAGCGCTTAGTCTACAATCGCCTAAGCTCCCACCTCAACGACAACAACCTCCTCGACCCCCTACAGTCCAGCTTCCATCCCCTACACTCTACCAAAACTGCCTTACTTAAACTAACCCACGACCTGCTAGCCGCTAAAGCTAATGGCCACTATTCAGTGCTCATACTCCTTGACCTCTCCGTGGCTTTCGACACAGTCGACCACCCCCCCCTCCTCAAAAAACTACACTCCCTTGGCCTCAGAGACTCCGCTCTCCTCCTGGCTCTCGTCCTACCTATCACAATGCTCCTTCAGCTTTACATACAACGCTACCACCACCTCCCCGTCACTCCCCCTCTCTGTCGGGGTCCCTCAAGGCTCGGTCCTCGGGCCCCTTCTCTTCTCCATCTACACCTCCTCCCTTGACCAACTGATACACTCCCATGGCTTCAACTACCTCCTCTATGCTGACGACACGCAAATCTATCTTTCGACCCCTCACCTCACCCCCTCAGTCTCCGCCTGAATTACTAGCCCACTGAATGGCATATCACATTGGATGTCGCTCCACTTCCTTAAACTGAACCTCTCCAAAACCGAGCTCCTAGTCGCCCCCCCAGCCCGCACACCCCCCCCCCCCACTGACTTCTCCATCACGTCCAACAATGCCACCATCAGGCCCACCCCACAAGCCAAAGTACTTGGTGTAATTCTTGACTCCAATATATCCTTCTAGCCCCAATCGCTAACGAACTTATGCCGACTCCACCTCTGCAACATCGCCAAAATAGGCCCATTCCTAACCCCATAAACCACTAAACAGCTCATCCACTCCCTCATCATATCACGACTCGATTACTGCAATGCCCTCCTCACTGGCCTCCCTGACCGCTGGCTATCCCCGCTTCAGTCGATCCTGAATACGGCAGCCATGCTCATCCACCTTACCAACCGCTCTGTTTCCACCACCCCCCTCTGCCAATCCCTCCACTAGTTCCCGATTGCCCAACGGATTAAATTCAAAATGCCAACACTGACGTACAAAGCTGTCCATAATATTGCCCATCTATATCTCCAACCTAATATCCAAATACCACCCAAAACGCACTCTCCGCTCCTCACAAGACCTCCTTCTCTCTAGCTCCCTAGTCTCCTCCTCCAATGCCCGCCTCCAGGACTTCTCCAGGGCATCACCCATCCTCTGGAACTCCCTACCCCAATCCATCAGACTATCACCTACTCTCCTTTCCTTTAGGCGCACCCTGAAAACCCACCTCTTCAGGGAAGCCTACCCTGCCCTCTGCTAACTGCCGATCTCCTCCTCTCTTCCCACCACTCCATCCCCCACAGCTTTTCCTCCCATTCCACTATCCCCTCCCTCCTAGATTGTAAGGTCCAAGGAGCAGGGCCCTCGAACCCCTCATGTATCGCACTGTATTGTCATTGTACTGTCTCAAGTATTGTCTCCCATTGTAATGTACAGCGCTGAGAGAACTATTGGTGCTATAGAAATACTGTATAATAATAATAATAATAGTGCTTAGACCCCACACCTCGGGTGAGCCCACAACACCCGTTAGGGGGAACTGCTCATGTACTTAACCAACTGGTTTCTGTGTGAGATTTTATACTGCTATAGCTACTGGCTTCTGAAGCTGACCCCTGACTTTGACAACACCCACTGTTTATTCAAAATGGTCTCTTGACAAATGTTTCTTGCATAAATATTCTTTAAGCTTTATGTGTGTAATCGGGTTTCTTCTGTTTATTTCAGAAAGATGTTGTAGGAAGTTTCATGAAACGTACTGTAAGTAGCATTTATTTCATAGTGTTTTTATACTGTTTATATGTCATTTTGTGCAACGTGTTTAGCAGCATCCTCAGCATTATACAATATCTTTATAACTAATCTCGGGGAAAATTAGATACAGGAATATTCTATACAGCTTTTGAAATGGTGACTGTATGCTTGGAGACCTCCTCATTGGCCCCTCTACTTGAGTCAAGACGCACTCTCTTTCTCATCTTTCTTCTTCCTTAAGAGACTGAGAATGCTTTCAACCAGAATATATGAATAATATATGAAAATACTCACCATTGGAAGCACAAAATTCAAGGTGAACATGCTGGGATTTGTAGATTCAAACTAGCTCTAGCACATGTATAAATGCTTCCTATGTATCATTAAAAAGCACTGCTGCTTCCTGTTTTTGCTGAAAAATTCTAAAGGTAGCCATGCATGGCTAAATGAGAGAAAATCAGTTGTTTTCCAATCCACGCTAAACAGCAAGGATCGAGGAGTCTCCATTGCAGACTATTGTATGCAGACAGTTGTTGAACCCATGGCTGTCTAAAAACCTGAACACCCAATCTAAAGTTTAGGTAATGTTAAGGTACTGAATCCGAACTCCAATGAAGTAAATATGTGCCAAATGTTAAAAACTAGTAGTACCCATTTAGGACAGTAACACCCATTTTCTAGGTTAATAGGCTAGAGATTGTTAAACAAATGGCATGAGAAGCTGAGCAGTGCTCTGGGGAACATGTTTCCTAGAAGAGGGTCTGATATAGATGTAAAAAAATGGCATGAGTCCTTCCTCTACTCTACTCTCTACTATATAAGACCCTTTTAGGTCTGTTGTGGATGTTAAGGGTGAACACCATGCAGAAATAAGGGGAAAAAATGAGCCCCCCTTCCCCCAATATACCATACAAAACCCTTATCAAAGTATGTAGCCTGGCTGGCCAAGAAAGGGGTTAGATGAGCATGCATCCCCCTCTTGAACCATACCAAGCTCCATGCTGTTAACATAGGGAGACATAAATAAAATAAATTAACTCCTGCGCTACCAGTGACCATAGTGTGCAATTAGCTTAAAATACCATGCACGATTAACTACAGCTGCTGCTAACACCGATTATGTTCCCCCAATAATAGCAAACTTAAATATCCTACTATATCTAACATAAGGGGACAACTTACCTGATGATATGGATTTAAACACACATTTACACCCCCCCACACAGGTTGAGCTGGATGGACTGGCTCACGTAACAAAAAATGTCAAGTGTAAATAAATACACAAAGATAGTTTAAAAGTTCTTCAACAGATAAAAGTCAGATAATGTACATTCATTATCAGAATCACATTGTCCAACTACACTATATTGCCAAAAGCATTGGGACACCCCTTCAAATCATTGGATTCATATATTCTATACACCTCCATGGCCACAGGTGTTAAAAATCAAGCACCTAGGCATGCAGACTGCTTCTACAAATATGTGAAAGAATGGGTCGCTCTCAAGAGCTCAGTGAATCCAAGCGTGGTACCGTGATTGGTTGCCACCTGTGCAATAAGTCCATCCGTGACATTTTCTTGCTACTAAATATTCCTCGGTCAACTGTTAGTGGTATTATAACAAAGTGGAAGCAACTGGGAACAACAGCAACTCAGCCACCAAGTGGTAGGCCACGTAAAATGACAGAGCGGAGTCATGCTGAAGCGCACAGTGCACAGAAGTCGCCAAATGTCTGCAGAGTCAATTGCTAAAGATCTTCAAACTTCCTTTGGCCTTCAGATTAGCACAACGACAGTGCAGAGAGAGCTTCATGGTATTGGTTTCCATGGCTGAGCAGCTGCATCCAAGCCTTACATCACCAAGTGCAATGCAAAGAGTTGGATGCAGTAGTGTAAAGCATGCCACCACTGGACTCTAGAGTAGGACAATTTCATGCTCTCAACTTTGTGGGAACAGTTTGGGAATGGCCCCTTTCTGTTCCAACATGACTGAGCACTAGTGCTCAAAGCATAGTCCAAGACATGAATGAGTGAGTTTGGGGTGGAGGAACTTGACTGGCTTGCACTAGTCCTGACTTCAACCTGATAGAACACCTTTGGGATGAATTAAAGTGGGGACATCAGTGCCTGACCTCACAAGTGTGCTTTTGGAAGAATGGTCAAACATTCCCATAGACACCCTCTAAAACCTTATGGACAGCCTTCTCAGAAGAGTTGAAGCTGTTATAGCTGCAAAGAGGGTGCCAATGCAATATTGAACCCTACGGACTAAGCCTGGGATGCCATTAAAGTTCATGCGCATGTAAAGGCAGGCACCCCAATACTTTTGGCAATACAATCGTGTACAATCGTGGCCAAAATTTTTGAGAATGATACAAATATTAATTTTCACAAAGTCTGCTGCCGCAGTTTTTATGATGGCAATTTGCATATACTCCAGAATGTTATGAAGAGTAATCAGATGAATTGCAAAGCCCCTCTTTGCCATGAAAATGAACTTAATCCCAAAAAAACATTTCCACTGCATTTCAGCCCTGCCACAAAACGACCAGCTGACATCATGTCAGTGATTCTCTTGTAAACACAGGTGTCAGTGTTGACGAGGACAAGGCTGGTGATCACCCTGTCAAGCTGACTGAATTATAATAACAGACTGGTAGCTTGAAATGGAGGGAGATACTTGAAATCATTGTTCTTCCTCTGTTAACATGGTTACCTGCAAGGAAACACGTGCAGTCATCATTGCTTTGCACAAAAAGGGATTCATTTGCAAGGATATTGCTGCTACTAGGATTGCACCTAAATCAACCATTTATCAGATCATCAAGAACTTCAAGGAGAGAGGTTCAACTATTGTGAAGAAAGCTTCAGGGCACCTGAGAAAGTTCAGCAAGCACCAGGACCATCTCCTAAAGTTGATTCAGCTGGGGGATTGGACACCACCAGTGCAGAGCTTGCTCAGGAATGGCAGCAGGCAGGTGTGAGTGTATCTGCACGCACAGTGAGGCGAAGACTTTTGGAGGATGACCTGCTGTCAAGAAGGGGAGCAAAGAAGTCACTTCTCTCCAGGAAAAATATCACGGACAGAGGATTGGACTGCTGAGGACTGGGGTAAAGTAATTTTCTCTGAATCCCCTTTACGATTGTTTGGGGCATCTAGACAAAACCTTGTTCAGAGAAGAAAAGGTGAGCGCTACCATCAGTCCTGTGTCATGCCAACACTAAAGCATCCTGAGACCATTGTGTGGGGTTGCTTCTCAGCCAAGGGAGTGGGCACACTCACAATTTTGCCTAAGAACACAGTCATAAATATAGAATGGTACAAAAACATCCTCCAACAGCAACGTCTCCCAACCAGCCAAGAACAGTTTGGTGACAAACAATGCCTTTTCAAGCATGATGGAGCACCTTGCCATAAGGCAAAAGTGATAACCAAGTAGCTTGGGGAACAAAACATCCAAATTTTGGGTCCATGGCCAGGAAACTCCCCAGACCTCAATCTCATTTAGAACTTGGTGGTCAATCCTCAAGAGGCTGGGGAACAAAATAAAAAACCCCAACAAATTCTGACAAACTCCAAGCATTGATTATGCAAGAATGGGCTCAGAAGTTGATCGACAGCATGCCGGGGTGAATTTCAGAGGTCTTGAAAAAGAAGGGTCAAGGCTGAAAATACTGAACTTAATGTAATTGTCAAAAGCCGTTGGCACGTATGAAATGCTTGTAATTATGCTTCAGTATACCATAGTAACACCTGACAAAAAGATCTAAAAACACTGAAGCATCAGACTTTGTGAAAATTAATATTTGTGTAATTTTCAAAACTTTTTGCCATGGCTATATATACTCACCACGCCTGCCTGCAAAAAAAAAAAGAATACCATCTGAATGATAATTTCGGTGGATGACAGCTGTTATAAACAAAGGGGCATTGTCTTCCTGAGTGACATAATTTACCATATATGGTCAATGAATTCACTGGGATATGACAGATTCAACCTTAAGCTCATCTCTACAATTCAAACGAGAAAAGTTGATTTGTGGTTGCTTGCATCTTAAGCAGTTAGTACTATTTTCCCATTATATGCAATCATATAGGGGTTACGCATTTAGTTTGATGAATAATATATAATTGTATTGATGGGTAGACTAGGGGTTTGGGACACACAGATGTCCTCCCACACCTTATCAGTAAGAGGAGGAATTAACAGCTACCAATTACTTCTAAATTTGATTGGTAACCTCCTTCTTTAATATGGATTAAGTAGGATTATAGTGATACTAAAGGCTTAATTTAAAAAACAAAAAAACCCAACACATCATACTTACCTGCACTCTGCAGTGGTTTTGCAAAGAGCATCCCCAATCCTTCTCTTCTCGGGTTCCCCACAGGCTCTCCTGGCCCCTCCTCTCCTGTCGGGTGCCCCCCAGCAAGCAGCTTGCTATGGGGGCACCCACTGCTCCGTGAGTCCATTTACACACGGAGCTGCAACTTGGCCCCACCCCTCTCTTTTACATTGGCTGACTGGCTGTGAATCTCAGCCAATGAGGAGAGGGAGTCCCGTGATAGCCAAGACTCCAGTGCTGGATCGAGAGGGGGCTTAGGTGGCTATTAGGGAGGACTGGGGGAGCTGCTGTACAGAGAAGGTTTTTTAGAATGCATGAAGTTAAAAAACCTTGAGCCTTTACAATCACTTTAAGTAAGAGTACACAGTCAACATAAGACGTTTCTCTTTTTGTCATTGGTGAAATTGGGTAGTCAGACTATGTCGTGGTTGTAAATATTGGTTAAAGAAGGTTTTGGGCAGATCAATATTTCATTTTTTCTAACTGTATTATTTTTTTCAAAGCCAAAGTAATTTATAGACCAAGTGCCCAAAACGAAGCCGAAGCCGAAGCTGAAGGTGTTGTGATCCAAATGTGATGAAAGCCCAAGAAAGAGAAAACCATGTGAACAATTCTGTCTGAATAGACTTCAGTTATTTGGGGGTTTATTTTATTCCTACTGATCAAAAATAAAATAATTATAATTTGGCACTGAAATTTTGCTTTTATATGTGTGTTACTAATAATAACAACTCATATTGAAATTACCAAAAATATGTAAAACTTATAATCACAAATATATAGATAATAAAGGTGCAGCGCTATTAAAAAAAATATAGTGAAATATCAACATACACTCAATATTTAAGAGTATACAAATAATGACATTAGATCATATTGTTCATCTAAGATAAATTCGATGTTCAATCTAATGTCCAAAAACACGAGAGGATGTGATGTGCGAATTCTGCCGGGTCTCCTTTGCCAATAAGGATAAGTGATCCAAAGGTGAACAGGAAATAAATTAAATGCGCACTCACCAGAAGTGCGTTTAAAATACGCATGAAAGAAGTTTCCTCTCTCATCAGGTGCATCTAGGTCCTCCGCACTCAGGTCAAGCTGCGCTCCCTGGTCCTCACTAGTCATCCATCATGGCCAGGTTCCCTAGTTCCTCAGACACTCATGCAGCTCTGGGGTCCCTCTTTAAACTTGATACTGCGAAAGGGTGGCGCTCATAAAGAGCCCAATAAGGGACATCACATAGCGTGATACTGCATAAAAGCACTTTATTCCAGAAGCATCTGTAAAAACATAAGTAAAAAGTACTGACCGCAATGATTTCAGAATAGCCACCAGCGGTGGCTTAGATGTCCAGATGCTGTAGCCCACTGACGCGTTTCGTGCTATGCACGTCCTCAAAGGGTACAGGGCTTACAGCAGGGACATCTTCTCACTCCTATAAAAATACTAAAATACTGGGCAGCAAGCGAATAAAGAGAAAGCGGGAAATACCTTTATAAAAACCTGTATACCCCTATGCAAGGCTATTTACCAACCAACTGCATATATGAAATATGCTATGCCCACCCTTTTACACATATACAGTGGAGCAAAAAAGTATTTAGTTAGCCACCAATTGTGCAAGTTTCCCCACTTAAAAAGATGAGAGAGGCCTGTAATTGGCATCATAGGTAGACCTCAACTATGAGAGACAAAATGAGAAAAAAAAAATCCAGACAATCACATTGGCTGATTTGGAAAGAATTTATTTGCCAATTATGGTGGAAAATAAGTATTTGGTCACCTACAAACAAGCAAGATTTCTGGCTCTCACAGACCTGTACCTTCTTCTTTAAGAGACTCCTCTGTCCTGCACTCATTACCTGTATCAATGGCACCTGTTTGAACTTGTTATCAGTATAAAAGACACCTGTCCACAACCTCAAACAGTCACACTCCAAACTCCACTATGGTGAAGGCCAAAGAGCTGTTGAAGGACACCAGAAACAAAATTGTAGACCTGCACCAGGCTGGGAAGACTGAATCTGCAATAGGCAAGCAGCTTGGTGTGAACAAATCAATTGTGGGAGCAATAATTAGAAAATGGAAGACATACAAGACCACTGATAATCTCCCTCGATCTGGGGCTCCATGCAAGATCTCACCCCATGGGGTCAAAATGATCACAAGAACGGTGAGCAAAAATCCCAGGACCACATGGGGGGACCTAGTGAATGACCTGCAGAGAGCTGGGACCAACGTAACAAAGGCTACCATCAGTAACACACTACGCCGCCAGGGATTCAGATCCTGCAGTGCCAGACATGTCCCCCTGCTTAAGCCAGTACATGTCCGGGCCCGTCTGAAGTTTGCTAGAGAGCATTGGGATGATCCAGAAGAGGATTGGGAGAATGTCATATGGTCAGATGCAACCAAAATAGAACTGTTTGGTAGAAACACAACTTGTCGTGTTTGGAGGAGAGAGAATGCTGAGTTGCATCCAAAGAA